GCTGAAGGGCCTGTTTCCATGCTGTAGACCTCTATGACTCTAAGTGGTTTATTTTCTGGATGGTGACATATAATGACTGGTATGCCATGGGAATTAGTGTGTTCCATCTAAACTTTTTACAATTTAGATAAATTACTTGAATGAAGAGACTGAATGTATAGTTTCTACATTTGCTGCAGACAGAAACAGATATAGGAAAATCAATTGTGAAGAGTACATGAAGTGGGTGGACAAATGGAGTATACTCTGGGAAAACAGGAAATTGTCCATTTTGGCAAGAAGAATAAAAATTAAGCATATTACGTAAATGGTGAGAAATTGTAGACCTCTAAGATACAATGGGAGTTGTGTGATCTAGTGAGTGAATTGCCAAAGGTTAGTATGAAGTTTGGTGAAACTGTGAGATATTTATATATACATGTTAATATTGTTTATTGCAAGTTTGGGTTCTTTGCATTTTAAGTTAAACATATGAGTTTGTCAGTGTGTTTTGAGTTTAAGAATTAACTTTTAGAAAACTACAGTATCCATAATTTGAAGTGAGCTGAAAGTACACAGTGTTCCTAGTGAACAATCCAGAGGGCTCGGGCAGAGAGTTTTCCAGACTCTGACTTTCATGTTTAGTCTGTGCTGGGAAGTTGTTGAGAGAGAAGTTAGTATCAAGCTTCAAAGTGCTGAAAAAGCTGGCAATAGGACTACATGTGCTAAACAATGTTCTTAGAATGAAATTATTGTTGAACAAAAAGTTATTATTAATCCCAGATCATAGGATCAGTTGGTGGAAAAGAAATAAAGTTTTAAAAGAAAACAAAAGCAAATTGAAAATGTGTCAAGGTTAGAATGTCCTTGGAAGGAAGTTAAGTCAGGAGCATCACAACAATAAGAGTCAACCACAGTTTTAGTAGATGAGTTGAAATTTTAATTATTTCAAACCCATCAAAATGTTCAAAAGGAGATGCTCTCTTGCTTGGAAATTAATGGACTGTCCCTTGCTAAACATGCAGCACAAAATTTCTTAGAGCTGCAACCATTACAACAATTACAAATGTTGCTGTATCAAGATTTCATGAATCCAATATAAAGCTATTGTTTCTTTCCAATCTGTAAAGAGTTCTCGGGTTATTCTGCCATATTTTTAAAAATATCTCAATTATAAGAGAATTGAGTGTTTTTTTTTCTTGTTTATCTCAATTTCTTTTGTTTATAAACTTTCAAAACAGAAGCAGGGAATGCTGGAAAAACTCAACAGGTCTGCAAACATCTGTGGAGAGAGAAACAGAGTTAATATTTTGAGTCTGCTGTGACTTTTCTTCAGCATTCTCTGTTTTTTACAGATTTTTAGAAACTGCGGTATTTTGCCTTTCTTCGAGGGTTTAAAAACTTTGGCTCTTTTTCATTGTAAGCACCGCAAGTTTATGTTTAAGTCAAGATCACTTTCGTAATAATTCTTTTTAAAAGAAAACCTACCCAGCTAAGTAGGTCTAACTTGTCCAGTACTAACACCAGTTGGGTATTACCCAGTAATAAATGGAGCCACGAGATTACAGGAGCAGGTACAGCAAATAATTCAGGGAACTAATAGAATGTAATAGTTTATGTGAGGAAAATTGAATACAAAGGTCAAGAGGCTACATTTCAGCTATACAGGACATTGATGGAGCATTACCTACAGTATTGGTCACCTTTTTTAAGGATGCAAATGCACTGGAAGCATTTTATGGATGATCCTGAAGTGTATTTTTTTTTCTCTCTCACGGATGGTGATATGACTTTTGAACTCCCGTCTTGAAAGGGTTGTGGAAGCAGAGTATTTGAATATTATTAAGGCAGTAGAAATGGATAGATTCTTGCTAAGGAAAGAGTTGAAAGGTTTTCAGGGGTAATCAGGGATGTGGATTTGAGGGTACAATCAGAGTAGTCATGATCACATTAAATGGTGGAGCAGGTTCAAGGGGCCAAATAGTCCTTTGCTTTGACTATATGTTTTTATGCTTGCTTTTATCAACATAGCTGCATGATGTATGTCATGACCATTACTGCCTACAGACTGACCCTGCTATTATGCCTTATTTTGCTAACATTGAGAGCTTCTTACTATTTCTTCTCTCCTTGTAGAAATAAAGTGCCATTGGAAGACTAATTATTGGCTATGAACCTTGTCAATCTACTTGACATTAGGGTGCAGAAGGTGCCAGATAGTGGAATTGAAGAAGAACCCCCACCATTTGCAAGAATATGAAGACCTACTATCAATTTAATTTTATCATCTTTATTTATCTAATTTTATCATTTTGCTTTACCTACTCATTTACCCAATCATTGCCATCAATAGATATCATTCATGAACAAAGAGGCACAGATGGCTTGGTCGAGCTGAGCAAACAGTCTGTTTCCTTGTGAAATCCAATCCATTTAATTACACATACACTTAAAAAAACACACATACTTTCTCAGACTTTGAAATTCACATGACATTTATTTAAAAGCATTATTTACATATTTCTCCAAAGATGTTAAATAATATTTTGCAACAAAAATACTGAATCAACATTGGTACATCCATTAGCCAGATATATATTCCTCCCAAAATCATTCTTGTAGGAAACGACACATACAACAAAGAAAGGTGGTGCACAATATTTATAAGTCCAGTAGGATTCTAGCATAAGAATCTCAGGTCCCATCAATACCTATACCTAGAGGTACCAACTTTTCCCCTCAATTTCAGGGACTATGATGGGGGCAGGGGGTGGTGGTTGCAGAAAATCAATTCATCTGAACCCAGGTCAGTGGCATAAAAGGGGACAAAGTTTGGGAATTCTCAGATGAGGAGATTCTTTATTTGGCAGCGGGACATTGGTGGGTTAATGCATTGAAAAAAAGTTGGTGTGCCTGCCTCTCTACAACAAGGAAGTGCCCATCATGGTGATGTGCAGTGTACCTACCCACATCATGTAAATAAACTGATCTTGCACTGCCTCTGCAAGCTTGGCAGATGAGGTCAGGGGTAGAATGGTAAGCGGATTTTCATATTTACACCAGTGCTAGTTCTTTATGTTAACCTCTTCCAGTCAGTGTCTCACTAAATGTTCTATGATGTCTGCTGGCATTGTGAAGTATGACGAAAAGTGAAGATCATACTGATTAAAAGAAAAAAACAATGACTGTAATTTGAGATAACAAGGTGTAGAGCTGGATGAACACAGCAGGTCAAGCAGCTTCACATTTTCATTTTCGCAAAACCTAAAGTAGTTTCACTGTCTTCATTCCCCTCCCTATATTGTTCCAGGTATCAGAATCTTTTCTTTAAGATCTTAAAGCTTTATTTAGCTCAGATTGTAGTTCCTAAATCTGCTAGATCACATGATCACTCTTGTCTGTTGCAAGTTATATAGAATACTTAAGTGTCATGGTGAACTGTTACATTGTCTTGTATCTTCTATGTCTCCTATATTCTCTCATGGTCACTCCTTTATTAACTTCCCTGAATTAACATCACTGAAGATAAACAATGATCTGGTGTTCACATTGACCCTTCAGAAACGGCATCCTAAATTATTGGAAATTTGACTTCCAGAGAGATCATTACATCTGTCTGTTCTACTACAGCTCTAAATTACTGTTAGTATTTTCTTCCAACTTTTACAGAGAATGTTCTGCTGTGTAACTGCTGTACTTTTGCTCCAACATATTTCAAAATATTGTACAACAATGAAATTTGCAACAATATGAACTCTAGTATTCTACTTCCTTGGAGCATACAACAAGCATCAGGGTTCAATAAATAATGCATATGCAAATCTAGTTATTATATACTTTAACAGATATACTGAGAGCTGGGCATCATTACAGACTAAAATCACAAGCTTTCCTAATTTGTACTTTCACTGCTAATCAATGCAGAAAGCAGAAAAAAATTCTGATTCTTCCTATGAGCGATATAAGTACCAGTATTGAAATGCATTATTGAACCTATCAACTTTAAATTTATAGGACATTATGTGCTGAGTTTATTCACAGTTTTTTTTTAGTTAAATCAAGCATTTTATACAATTGAGACAATGATTTTGTATAAGACACAATAATAGACGAATGAGTGGGGATCTCAGAGAGACTTATAAAATTCTAACAGGATTGGACAGGATGTTCCCAATGGTGGGTGTGTCCAGAACCAGGGGTCACAGTCTGAGGATTCGGGGTAGACCATTTAGGACAGGGACGAGGAGACATTTCTTCACCCACAGAGTGGTGAGAGGTGACTAGATATAGCACTTGGGTGTGAATGGGATCAAAGGTTATAGAGAGAAAACAGGATTAGGCTATTGAGTTGGATGATCAGCCATGATCGTGAAGAACGCCAGAGCAAGATCGAAGGGCTGAATGGCCTCCTCCTGCTCCTATCTTCTATGTTTCTATATTGCTATTCCATGAATTAAAAGCATTACAATGAATAATAAGTCTGTATGTTTTATTGTATTGTGTACTGGCGAACAATAAAACCATTTTAGGAGGTTTATAGCTATTACACACCTGAGGGGATTATTACCAACCTTAGAAAGGTAGGATTGTTAATAGGAACCTCAGAACAAGTAATGATTATAATGACTAAATATGATTATCAATCTATGTGACCTTCTACTCAATTTCTGTATATGGTTAACCATTTTCTGTTTTTTTATAATTGTTTTGAGTATGTGCTGATATATTTGTTGCTACCTCACTCGGCCTCACAAATAACTGAACATTTAGCTCTCACATTTGAGGTTCGCTTGATTTCTGTCGATTGCTCAATCAATTAGTTTTCCACAGTTATGTCATTAGGTCCCGCGAATATTCTTCTTTAACAACTGGTTCAAATATTTTGACCACAAAGATGAGTAACACATTGAAATGTACATTTCATTTAGATTGTAGTCCACTAAGATATGCTTCAGAAGTGTCTGATGGGTTGGGAACACAAACTCCTTTTCCACACTGTTGCTTCTTATTTCATTTTACTCTTAGCTCATGTGTTCTTCAAAATCATCTTGTTTTGCAAGAACAAGAGGAGCCACCAGTATCCAGATGTAAAGGGAGCTGCAGACCCAGCTGGAGGCAATTTTCATCCATACAGCAATCCAACTGCTTGATATGCTCTTAAAATCAGGGCTGTGGCTGTGTATGGAATGCAAGATAACTACTTTCAATTACCATAACCCTTCTTGAATTTGGTCAGAAATATTAATTGTGCTATTTTAAATTAAATTAAAATGGAATTTTTTTTCAAATCATTCAGCTCCTCTGTAAAGTACAGACTGCAATTATCCTTTGGGGTAAATGTGTACAAGTGCTTCACATTTTTGTCTAAGATCTTAACAGGAACATTAATTATTCAAAATAAAGCATTTACTGTCTCTGCTAAGGTAAAGTCAATTTTAACTAAATACGTTAGGTTGGAAAATATACCACAGTTTAGCCCTCTGCCATTTTTTGGAAATAAAATATGGAGGAAAAGCTAAATTTCTGAATCTGTCTTGAAAATGATTAGGTATTTCATACCGTATTCTAAGGTAGTGAAAATAGATCACTGTGATTGTATATTTCTTTAACATTAATGAACAACTTGTTGAAAAGTCATTACGCTGAATCCAGATCAGCAGAAACTTCAACAGAAACCTGACCAGGCGGTGCTGCTGTAGTGGTAATGTCACTGGACTAGTAATCTACTATATTAGGATAATATTCCAGGGCATAGGTTCTAATCTTGCCACAGCAGATGGTGAAAACTTGGATCCGATATAAATGAAAAGTTAGCCCATTGTTAACTTTTGTCAAAAAGAAACCAAATCTGGTTTACTAATGGCCTTTAAAGAAGAACATCTGCTATCCTTGCATAATCCTAGACCACGTGTGAACCACAGCAATGTTGTTGACTTTGCTGCCCTCTGGATAATAAGCCAGCAAACCCAACTCATGTGACCAAATTAAAAAAGTGATGAATACATGTTATTTGGTAATTTGTCTTCCATCTCATTTTGAATGCTTTGATAGAAAAATAATTTTAATCATCTGTGTGATATGACCACATATGTGTCAGAAATTGACAAGCACAGTGAAAATAATTCACCAAAGCTACTCAGAGTCCTGAAGAAATCGTCTACCATTTTACCGCAAATACCATTGGTAATATTGGCATTCTTCCTTAATACATATATGACACTCTGCAATCTATTACATTAAAGCTATTTACAATGTAAAAGTCTGATATAAATTAGTTAACACTGCAAATGATCTTCCATGAGATTTCTGCAAAGTAATCTGCAACTTTGCTACTCAGAAGTGGATTGTCTGCCATTGCCTGATTTTCATTCCTCAAATTGCTGACACTCTGTAAGGTTTTCACATACGTGCTGCAGTTTAAAATTAGCCCTTTGGCTCTACATGTTGTTATTTTGTTAGAGGGCAGTTTTTCAGCACGTCTGCCCAGTAGTGAGCCAAAAATGCCAATGTACAACTGACTCCTCTGTTCTCATTCCAGGCACGGGTTCTACTCTCTCTATCAATGCGCAAAATCAAAATATTGGCAAAATTATCTTTCAGGAATGCTTTTGATGCTAAGATTTTGACAGTATCACTTCCAAAACATTGTCAATGGGAGGTGTTGACCAAATGCTTGCCATATAAAATTAATTGTTACATTATTTGTATTGGGTCTGAAGTGTTCATTACCAGCCAGATTTTACTACCTGGTCTACAACAAGCGGTTGAGGTAAAAATTCTAATAAATATGCTGGTAAATTTACTTAATTTCGCATGCTTAAACAATACAAAATATTTATAATCCACGTGCAGTGGCTCCAGTTTGAACCAGCAAGAGTAATTTGTAATAGTATGGGATGAAATCCAATTCCTGTTGCATCAAATTTCACTGGGAGAAATCAGTAATCTGTAAATTATGACATTCAGAACATAGGCAGTCACAAGAACTGCTAGGTGGCTACATTCAATTCTCCCCAGCAATAGGTTGCAAGGTTTTTCAACCGATCACTCAGGACAGTTTGGGTGACACTGAAGAGGAGATCAAAGGTTATAGGCAGAGAATGAGAATATGAAAGAGAGACATAGCTGACTCTGTGTAAGGAGGCATGCAGTTAGCTGTCTGTTCATCCAAGAAGACAGCCTGATGATTCAGAATCTGTGCACAGGACTGAGAGAGGAGTCAAGGATAATTGGCTGGCTCCGTGCTGTTAAATCTTAGGAACAAGTTCTGTGAATTAACGGGGAATGTTGGAATCAGGACTCAGAATAAGCCCTGAAGAATTGAGAAATTGAGAAGCTATTGACTCTGCATTAGGGGAAGCTGTGAGCAACTCAGAAGAAGCCTGAGATCAGGGAACAAAAAACTCAGGGGTAGAATGGGCTCAGTCAGGCTAGCTGTCAGTGGAAGAGCTGGAGTTACAGATCAACCAGAGAGGGAGCACAGCTCTTGAGAAGGAGTTTCAAGACGAGATTGGCATAACTGAATAGTCCCAAGTATTAATGAGATTTAATACTCACCATACCATTAATATCTGTTGGAAGTTGCTAAGAAATCTGTGTGGGATCTGCTTTGATCATAATTGATGCTAAAACATTGAATGTATTCAAGAGGCAACGAGATATAGCACTTGGGGTGAATGGGATCAAGGGTTATTAGGGAAAGCAGGATAAGGCTATTGAGTTGGACGATCAGCCATGATACTGAAGAATGGCAGAGCGGGCTTGAAGGGCCGAATGGTCTCCTCCTGCTCCTATCTTCTATGTTTCTATGTTTCTATCTGCTAATTGTTATGCACTGTTGGGTGTTCAATCACATTCTATTACCTATATTCACCACATGTCAGTTCTGGGTGTTACAAGTAAGTTGCACATTATTTGTAGGTTTTATCCTGTTCAAGCATTGTAAAGTTAATTTTTGTTTGTTCAAACTCTGTAATCTTATTGCTTCATCCTCTTAATATGTCCCCTGGATCCCACACTTTGTCACAGTGCATAAAGGGACTATTTGACTCATCGTGGTCTGAACCGACCCTCTGAAGAGTAATTAATTGGTTATAAAACAGGGTGGGGTGCCCTGAGCTTGTGAAAGATATAGAAATGAGATTCATTTCTTACATTTAACAGTTAGCACATCTAAAATAACTGTAAGATATAGGAGCAGAATTAGGCCATTCGGCCCATTAGTCTGCTCTGCCATTCAATCATGGCTGATACGTTTCTCAATACCATTTTCCCATAACAATAGTAACTTGTCTTTTACTGCACTTTTCATGCAATGAAACAATCCAAGATATTTTGTATGAGCAAACTGGCTCCAAACCACAGAAAGGAATAACGGGGAAGATGCTTAAAAAGCTTCAACAAGGAGGTAGGCTTATGAAGCATGTTAAAGAAAGGAAGAAACATTGAGAGGCAGAGAGATTTAGAGAAATAATTACAAAGTGCAGGGTCTTGTTAGTTGAAGGCACAGCCACCAGTGGTAGAACTAATAAAGTCGGGAATGCTCGCAGGGAGAGGTTGTGATCATCATTGGTTTCCCATCCTTAATCGTACTTGAGAGAATGCTGGTGAGCTGATTTCTTGAACTGTTACAGTCCATGGAATGCAGGTACACCTATACCTCTGTGAGGGAGGGAGTTTGAGGATTCTGAGTCAGCAACAATTAAGGAACGATGATTTGGTTATAAGTCAGGATGGTGTCTGACTTGGAGGGGAGCTTGCAGGTGATGTCATGTCCATATGTCTGCTGTCCTTGGGCTTTGAGGTGGTAGAGGTCAGTTGTCTAGTAGGTGCTGTCATAGAGGCATTGGGAAATTGCTGCAGTATGACATTGTTTATGGCACACACTGATGCCACTATGTGCATGGTGGAGGAGTGAATGTTTAAGCTGGTGGATGGCATGCATAACAAGTGGCTGTTTTGACTTGGATGGTGTGGACCTTCTTGCTTGTTATTGGAGCCACACTTATTCAGGTACATGGGGATATTCCATTACATTCCTGCCTTGGATCTTGAAGATAGTGATTGGCTTTTGGGAAGTTGAGAGTTGAAATGCTCAATGCAGAATTCCCTAAGCTCTTATCCTTGAAGTCACAATTTTATAATGTGAGTCCAGTTCTGTTTCTGATGAATGGTCATCCCTGAGATTAGATGATGGGAAATTCATCAATGGTAACGTCAAGGAGAGATGGTTAGATTCTCTTTTGTTGGAAAAGGTAATTGTTAATACAAATGCTAGCTGCCACTTATCAGCTCATGCCCTGAATTTGTTCAATGTTGTCATGTATGGCCTTGAACTGCTTCAGTACCTGAGGTAAAAGCAAAATACTGTGAATTCTGGAAATCTGAAATAAAAACAGAAAGTACTGGAGAAACTTAGCAAATCAGGAAGCACCTGTGGAGAGAGAAACAGGGTTAACATTTTGAATCCAATACGACAGTGTCATTGAGTGTCCAAAATAGAACCGCCGTGTTAATTTGATTAGAAACAAAAAATCTATCCTGTTCTCCTAACATTACCTGGTGCATTTAAGTGTTAAGTGCTTAAGTAAATAACCTTAAGCTTAAGACAAGAAATGAAAATCCAATTAGTGACTTATGGTACACACATTTTAACTTTAGTAGCAGGAAACTGACATGCATCTCAGGTGAAGGAGTCTCTGTGTAATAAATGAATCATATTTCCTTTCTTTCTGAAAATCAAGGCAAGTCACTCTGTACTGAAGTAGATTGGGCAAATGTTAAGCTAGTTCGAGGTCAGAAGTCACGTGACACCAGGTTATAGTCCAACAAGTTTATTTGGAATCACACAAGCTTCTTATTCACAAATACAGCCATTATTTGTCTGATAGTCAATGTAGGTTAATGAGAACTGGGGCAATGTATGAATAAGACATTGTACAAGTAAATACATAGTTTTGGATAACCACAATTTTACAGAGGCTAGAATGTGGCAGGCCAGTCAGAATTGTAATGGAATAATCAAGTATGGTGATAATATGGCTTTAAGAGCTGAGTTTTGTCCTTTTTTTATGAAGACAGGTTGAGACAGAGGTGCCAAGTGCTCAGTTCCAAGTCAATAAAGTGAACAGCTTGGGATGCCAAGCTTTTTTTAATTTGGAACAGTAGAAGCAGTA